TTTTTCCTATATTTGTTGATTGGGATTGTATTTCTTCTTTGAAGTGTCTGTTCAGTTCCTTGGCCCATTTATTGATTGGGTTGTTTTGTTGGTGTTAAGTTTTTTGAGTTTTTAATATATTCTGGATATTAATGCCGTATCTGAGGTGTACGTGGTAAAGATTTTCTTCTATTCTGTAGGCTGTCTCTTCACATTCTTGGTTGTTTCCTTTGTTGTGAAGAAGCTTTTTAGTTTGAATCCATCCCATTWATCGATTCTTGATTTTATTTCTTGCCTTTTAGAAGTCTTGTTAAGGAAGTCAGTTCCTAAGCTAATATGGTGAAGATTTGGGCCTACTTTTTTTCTTTTAGGCACAAGGTCTCTTTTCTAATGCCTAAGTCTTTGACCCACTTTGAGTTTTATGCAGGGTGAGAGATAGGGGTTTAAATTCATTTTGTTACATGTGAATTTCCAGTTTTCCCAGCACCATTTGTTGAAGAGGCTCTCTTTTCTCCARTGAATATTTTTGACTCCTTTGTCTAGTATGAGATATCTATTTATGTGGGTTTGTGTCTGTGTCTTTTTTTCTCTACCATTGGTCTACGCATCTGTTTTGGTGCTAGTACCCTGCCGTTTTTGTTACTATTGCTCTGTAGTATAGTTTTAAGGTCAAGTGTTGTGATGCCTCCTGCTTTACTCTTGTTAAGGTTTGCTTTGGCTATTCTGGGTCTCCTATTTTTGCAAATGAATTTCATCATTGTTTTTGTAGTTCTATAAAGAATATCACTGGGATTTTTTGGGTGTTGATTTTATATCCTGCYACTTTGCTGAATTCATTTATTAGTTCAGGAAATTTTTGGTGGAATTTTGGATCTTTAAAATATAGAATCATGTCATCAGCAAATAGTGGTAGTTTGAATTCTTCTTTTTTGATTTGTATCCCTTTAATTTCTTTTATCTTTCTAATTGCTCTGGCTAGAGTTCCAAGAACTATGTTGAATAGAAGTGGTGAAAGAGGACATACATCCCTGCCTTGTTTTTAGAGGGAATGCTTTCAGTTTTTCTCCATTTAGAATGATGTTGTCCTTAAGTTTAGCATAGATAGCTTTTACAATGTTGAGGTATGTTCCTACTATCCCTAGTTTTTGTAGTGTTTTGAACAGAAAGGGTGCTGTATTTTCTCAAATGTTTTTTTCTGCATCTATTGAGATAATCATGATTCTTGTCTTTAAGTCTGTTGATATGATGTATTATGTTTATTGATTTTCKTATGTTGAACCAACCGTGCATCCTTAGGATGAACCCACTCGATTGTGCTGCACTATCTTTTGAATATAGTTTTGTATGCGATTTTCTAGAATTTAYTGAGAATTTCTGCATCTCTAGGAATACTGGTCTGAAGTTTTCTTTCCTTGTTGTGTCTGTCTGGTTTTGATATCAGGGTGATACTAGTCTCATAGAATGAGTTTGGAAGAATTCCTCTACTTTTCTGTTTCATGGAATAATTTGAGAAGTATTGGTATTCTTCTTTAAAGGTCTTATAGAACTCGGATAAGAATCCATCTGGTCCTGGGCTTTTCTTGGTTGATAGGCTTTTGATGGTGTCTTCTATTTCATTGCTTGAAATTGATCTGTTTAAATTGTGTGTGTCCTCCTGGTTCAGTTTGGGTAGATTATATGTCTCTAGAAATATGTCAGTGTCTTTAAGATTTTCTATTTTGTTTGAGTATAAATTTTGAAAATAGTTTCTAATTATGTTCTGTATTTCAATGGTGTCCATCGTGATATTTCCTTTTCTTCATGAATTTTAGTAATTTGAGTTTTCTCTTCTTTGTTAGTGTGACTAGGGTGTATCAATTCTATCTATTGTTTTAAAAGGACCAACTTTTCATTTGTCAATTTTTTGAATTGTTTCTTTTGTTTTAATTTCATTGTTTCAGTTCTGATTTTAATTTTTTCCTGTGTTCTATTATTTCCTGTTGACTTTTTAATTTTTCTTTTTCTAGAGCTTTGAGATGTTATGTTAGGTCATTTATTCATTTCTATTATTTTAATGAAAAAGCTCAGTGCAGTGAACTTTCCTCTTAGCACTGCCTTCCTAGTATCCAGAGATTTTGATATGTTGTTATCTGTATTCTCATTTACCTCTAAGTATTTTTTTTTTATTTCATCACTGATTTCTTTTGCTATTTGTCATTCAATAGCATATTGATTAGTCTCTAGGCATATGAGTAGCATCATTGATTTTTAATTTCATTCCATTATATTCTGGTAGAATACAGTGTAGTGTAGTGTCTGGTTTGGGGGTTGTTTTTTTTTTTTTTTTTTTTTTTTTTAAATTTGCTGAGAGTTGCTTTGTGGTATAACATATGGTCTGTTTTAGGTCGTGTTCTGCTGAGAAGAGGGTTTAGTCACTGGATGATGGATGAAATACTCTCTATATGTCTGTTAAGTCTAAATCATTGATTATGTTATTTAGTTCTATAGTTTCTTTGTTTAGTTTTTATTTGGAAGATCTATCCAGTAGTGAGAGAGGTGTGTTAAAGTCACCAGAATATTGTTTTGTGGACTATTTGACACTGGAAATTGAGAAGGGTTCTTTGTTTTATGTATGTAGTTGCTCCATTGGTTGAGGCCTAAATATTTATAATTGTTGTGTCCTTTGTATGATTCCCTTAAGTAGTATGAAATGTCATTTCTTTATCCCTTCTGACTAACTTTGGTTTAGTTCAGTCTCTCTGATGTAAGGAYGGAAGTCTCTTCTTTTTTCCAGGAGGTGAGTCTCTTACAGACAGCATACYGTTTTTTTGTTTGTTGGTTTTTCTTTTTGTTTTTTAATCCAATCTGCCAGTCTTGTGTTTTGGTTGATGAGTTTAGGCCATTAATATTCAGGGTTATTATTGATTTGTAATAATATTATTGATATTACTGATATGAATAGTATGCCCAGTCATTTTGAATTAATTTTTGTTTTTAACCTGACTTAGTTTTTCCTTTGATTAACCTTTTCTTTAGTGTAGCTCCTCCCTTTGATGGTTTTCATTGTTTTTCTCCATTTCCTCCTCATGGAATAGTTTGCTGAGAATGTTCTATAGTTCAGCTTTCTAGTTGTGAATTCTTTTAACTGTTGTTTATCATAGAARKTTTTTATTTCATCTTCATCTAAAGCTTAATTTTGCTGGATATAAAATTCTCGGTTTGTCATCATTTTCTCATAGAGCTTGATACATGTTATTCCAGCACCTCTGGGTGTTGAGAAATCAGCTGAAATCCAAATTGGTTTCCTCCATATGTAATTTGATTTTTTTTTCTTTTGCAGCCTTTAAAATTCTATCCTTATTCTCTATGTTAGTCATTCTCATTATAATGTGCCTTGATGTGGGTCTGCTATAATTTTGTACATTTGGAGTCCTGTAGTTGATTTTCCATTTTATTCTTTAGATTTGGGGAAATTTCTGATACTACATCTTTGAAAAGATTGTGTATTCCCTTTGGTTTGTATCTCCATGCCTTCGTCTGTTCCAATAAATCTCAAATTTGGTCTTTTCTTGTTATCCCATATTTCTTGTAAGTTCTCTTCATGGTTTTTTACCATCTTCTCTGTGTGATCAACTTTTTTCAAGAGTATATATTTGTCTTCATTGCCTGAGGTTCTGTCAAGTGGTCTAGTCTTTTGGTAATACTTTCTATTGAAATTTTAATTTGGTTTATTATTTCCTTCATTTCAAGGATTTCTGCATGATTTCCTTTTCAAAATCTCTGCCTTTTTATTGAAGTGATCTTTCACCTCCTATAATTTCTCTCCAATACCATTCTTTATTTTGAAGATCAGCATAACTTTGTATCTTCTRTACTCCCTCTCTGACATTACTTTTATTGTGTTGTCTATGTATTCTATTGTTAGAACATCTTGGCGCTTTGTTCCCTTGTTTTTTCATGTTGTTTGTGTCTTCCCATCTAGTGCTTTGGATCTGAGGTAGTACAGTTTGTATCCTGTGATCTTATAGTGTCCTTGAAGGCTTCTAATACCTCAAAGTATCTTCAAGGCAGAGACCAGCATTAACAGCACTCAGTGCAATCAGTATACACCTTTAAACCAAATAACTGTTATTAAGGCACTTACATTTTTGTCACAATAATCAGAAATCATGAGTTCAGTTATTGTGTACAATATAAATAKTAAGTTCTCTAAAAACAGTTTACTGTTTCTAGTGATGGACAGTGAGGGACAAAAGTAGTGTAAGATGTGATGATTATGAGGGAGAAGGAGAGAAGATAGAGGTAAAAATTTATAGTAAGAGTGAGGAAGAAATAATAGAGATTGGCTATTAGTATGAGAGAAGTGAGAAAGAATTCAGGGAGACAGGTGAGAGAACAAATATACAGTTTTTTTTTTTTTAAAGTAAAAATATAAGAATGTGTAACAGAACTGTAATACACTATTCAGACATTGAATTCCTCAATAAACTGATGCATGAAAAATATTTGGATTCAAAGATGTGAAAGAAGGGAAAAGGCAAAAAAAGAAAAGGTTCATTGGAAAATTAAAAGATAGAGTCCTTTGGCTTTGAAAAATTTTCTCAGCTTCCCTTCTCCACTGATAGGTGGGCTTGTCTGAAGTTTGATGGCAGCTCCAGTCCTATGGGTGAGCTGATAGCAAGGTGCTCTGACACCCTCTTCCAGTCTTCCCACCTGTTGTTGCCAGCTCCTTCTGTCCCCAGGACTCACTGAGCTGCAGAGAGAGCCTGGTTTTCTCCAGTTCCTCCAACCTGTACCTTCCCCCAGCTTCCCCATAGTCTCCTGCTTTCCAGAGGCTTGCTAGACCCAGACTGGCCCACACAAACCCCACTGCAACCTAAAGGACCTGGGCTTTGGYTTCCCCAGGCTCTGCCTTACTGCAGTCCCAAGGTCTCAATGCCATTTCAACTTGGCAGAGAGACCACCAGGGATGTGCTCACACAAAGGAGCGACACTGCAAAGAGGCAGCCAGATGGCAAGCCATTAGCACACCCAACAGAAAGATCTCAGGTATAACCAGACCYGCAGGTACCCCAACAATATATCTCCAGGCCCTGTAGGGTGTCCCAAAATGGCAGCGGCCATGTGTAACAGCTTACGGGTACTGTGACAGTGGACCTCCAGGCAGCAGGGGCCAGTGGGCAGTCTGTGGGCACTCTGTAGGCTAAGGGTTGGCAATATTCCAGTGGATGTTGGGCAGTGGGGGATAGGCAGGCAGGAAATGGTGGACTATAAGCAGCAGTCAGTGAGTGATCTGTGCTCTAAAGGCAATATGCTAGTGGGCGGTTGTGATGAACAAATGAGGGGTAAGCAGCTGGGAATCAGAATTCAAGCAGTATTTCCTCTGCTTAAATCCCAAGGCACGGAGRGACAAGGAATGCAGCCTCTCTCTAGTTCGMCATCTTGGCAAGCTGGTGTGTTTATGCATAAGTTGTGAGATACATCTGAATTTCAAATGTTAAGACGTGTGAAAATTATGTGACTTAGAATAGAGGACATTTATCATCTGATTAAGTTTTCTAAAACTTAGTAATGTGGACTAAAAAGTTAAAAGAGTGGTGGAAACATTTTTATTCATGTTTTCCTTTCAGATTGTCCAATTTATTGTTACATTGGTTCAGAATAACCAACTTGTGAGTTTAAAACGCAAAAGGTAAGTTTTTATGATAAAACATTTTGAACCATAAATAGACATTTTATTTTTTAACCATGAATGGTCCAAGTATATTCCTAATGAACCAAAGAATAGTCCTCCCTTGATAAGTTCTTAACATCTCCAGATTGACTTATAGGTTGAGTATTGCTTACCTGAAATGTTTGCGATCGGAAGTGCTTCAGATTCTGATTTWTTTTTCAGATTTTGGAATGTGAGATTCTTTCTGATGGGATCTAAGTCTGAATGTGAAATGCATTTATGTGCACATTCGACTTATTCAGTTTAATGCGATATTTTAAAATACTTTGTGCATGAAACAAAGTAAACAAAGTTTTTGTATCAAGTAGCTGAAGGGACTGGATGGTCTTTTTTTCCTATGGACACTGGTAAACTAAGTGTTGAATGCCTGAATTTGACCTTAACCTATCACATGAGGTCAGGTTTTGAATTTTCACCTATGGCATTATATTGGTGCACAAAAAGTTTTGGATTTTGTAGGATTTTGGATTTTTGGAGTACTGATATTCAACTTCTCCTGTCATCCTTGTGGTGTTTTTGAGAAGTAAGGATAGCCTAAATGGTCACTTTATAGGCATAGGCATACATACTAATAAACTATCATTTACTTAGCAGTTTAAAGGAACATTGGAGAGCTTGAGAGAGAAATTCTAAAAAAGAGGCAATTCATTGAAAAAACAAAATCACAATTTTTTCAGTCTTTTTAAACCTGTATTTTAGCCATAGTTTGTGATACCTGTTAATGTCAGTAGAGAAAGATTATCTGCAAGGCTAGTACTGGTTCTTCTGCTATTACCTACTTATTTATTATTGTGGATAGTTTGTAAGAGTTGTACAATGCATTAAACAGTGAAGTCTATCTGGAGATCGTAGTCTATTATATTTACTATAGAAACAGTAGCATTAAAGAAGGGAGAACTATAAGTTCCAGRTATTCTTATCTCCCAGTTTCTATTTATAAAAATGTACTATATTAAAGAGTTCCTTGTGTTTTTTTACAGAAGGTCTTAAAACATTTTAAATTCTTCATAYTGTTGCCTCATGAAACTGAATGAATATTTTTCTGATTTCCAGGCCTCTACTTCTGAACACTAATGGAGCCCAGAAGAAGAATTTATTTCAGCACATAGTCAAAGAACCAGCTGATAATCATCATCATAAAGTAATTCATGTATATTATTTTGTGTTTATTAAATATCTCAATTAAATTTTTTATGGTAGTATTTTATGAGGTAAAAGAAGCTTGGTGAATAAAAGTGTCAAGTTCTCATTTCCCAGCCTTGTTACCAGCCTTATTAAGTCTTAAGATTTTTCAGTATTTGCTTTAGATTATTTGAAGAAATAAATCATGACAAATATAGTTGTCCCAGTTTTCTGTTTTCAAGTTTTTCTTTCCTATCTTGATTCATTCTCTTGAACTCAGGAACARTATTTCATATTATTTTGCATGTATTTAAACTTTATGTAAATGATATCATTCTGTACGTATTACTTTGTTGTATTGCTTTTTTTAAACTTGGTATTACTTTTGAGATTTATAAAACAGATTTAGTTTCAGTGAAATACAAATTGAACATTGTGATAATTATGATAATGTAATGTGATTATATATTTTTCTGTTAGTTTGCTTTTAACTTATAAATGTACATTGATTCGACTGATTGTTCTCTGGAAATTTCAAAATATTTTTGTTTACCTTCATTTTTGCTTCAAGTTATGTGGATAATTTGTTTTAACTTMTATCCATTGCCATTACAGATTAGACTAAGATTAGACTAGTCCAGAATCCAGACCTCTAATGCAATCTTATTATTGCTGTCATTTTTTTTTTCTTTTTCTTTTTGGAGATGCTGAGGATCAAACATAGAGGGCTTTTTGTTAGGCTATTGCTTCATATTTATTATTGAACTAACAGGATTCATTTATGTTTTCTGGGACAAATCAATTAATATTAGACCTGATTCCTTTTCCTACTACTGTTCAGAAATAAGCATTCCCAATTGTTTTGTTTGTAGGACTAAAGTGGATGAAGTCTTTTTTTTTTCCTAATTAAGTGGATTTATATATTGTAAAGTACTTAACATCTTTTACCTGTTATCTAGTGTTGAAATTTATGGATTGTTAGATTGTAATAATGATTTTAGTTTGCTTTAGAGAATTGAACTTTTAAAAATGAGTATGGCCTGAGTGTATCTGTGGCTTAATAAAAAATTATTGTTAATACTCCAAACTGACATTTAACTAGAATAGTTGAAGTGCCATTTTTCTTTTAGTGAAACCTTTAATGAATAATGATAAAATGTGTCAAACAGATCAGCTTGAAATGAAATAATGCCCTCAATACAATGGCCATCTGCTTATGCTTGAAATATATGAAGTTCTGAGACTTTTCTTCATAACTATACAAAATACTTTAGAATTTAAAGTCTTCCCATAGATACAGACATGCTATTTTCAGGGATCTTACAGTAAAAGTAGTAAAGTAGAATGCAAATCATATGCCTTTATGAATAGATACATGCCTCTGTAAGTTCATAACTGAATTGTTATTATTAATAGTGTATAAATTACATAAGGACAAAGGACATAGTTGTTTTGCTTATTACTGTTTCCCCAGTATTTAGTAACTAGTATGCTTCTGGTTGTGATATCCTAGTAGTGTGATATCCTAGTAGTGATATCCTAGTAGTGATATCCTAGTAGTGATATCCTAGTAGTGTGATTTCAATATTTAGATATATTATTTTTCTGACTTTTTAGGTTCCACACAGTAGGACTGAAGGTTTAAAGCCAAGAGAGCGGATTTCAGATGACATTATTATTTATGATGTTACTGATGATAATGCGGATGAAGAAAATATCCCAGTTATTCCAGAAACTAATGAGGATGTTATATCTGATCCCTCCAAGTAAGGAGTTTCTGAGATAAAATTTATGAAAKTATTTGTCACTTTTATTATTAAGTTGCTAAAATTAAAAACACCCACTTTGTTCTTTGATAAATTAACATTTGTCTCATACTTGGAATATTCAACTGATAATTAAGCTAGTTTATTTAACCATATAAAAAAGAAGTAACGAAAATCCTTTTTTTTTTTGGTACTGGAGGGTTGAACCCAAGAGGGCTTTACTGCTAAACTATATACTCAGCCCTTAACTCTTGCTAGATTACTGAGGGTCTTGCTAAATTTGCTGCAGCTGGACTCAAATTTCTGATCCTGTTGCCTCAACCTCCTGAATTGCTGAGATTACAGGCATGTGCAACTATACCTGGGTGGCTGAATTTATTTTTTATTTTAGAGTTCAACACTACATTGATTCTTTGTAGGTCTTATATTCTGTACAGTGTCAATATTTGTGATTTAGCTACATACCCAAGGTTSGTAAGCCTTTGATACATGGTTTGGAAAGAGTATCTGGAAAATAAATGGATAGAGTAATTTTATTGAATTTGTCTGCAAATGTAACTGCTTCTTTGTTTTCATATTGCTGGTCTAGCTGTAGCCAGTACCCTGATATTGTCATTGTTGAAGATGACAATGAAGATGAGTATGCACCTGTCATTCAGAGTGGAGATCTGAGTGAACCAGCCAGAGAATCCCTAAGTTCAGRCAGTGATGGCATCAACCCTCTCATGTCTAGTGCTGTCCAGCTAAATGGTTCATCCAGTCTGACCACAGAAGATCCTGTGACCATGATGGATTCCATTTTGAATGATAACATCAATCTTTTAGGAAAGTGAGTGCTTATCTAGATGTTATCTAAAGTTAATTGATTTCTTCATATTCAATTTTTGAGTGATCTTCATTTCAGATGATAAACCTACTAATCTACTTTTTTATTTGTCAAAACGGAGTTCTCTAATGAAAGGGATTTGTCTTAAGAAGAGTCTTGGAATATTCCTCTGCAGTTTTTCTTATTTCTTTAATGAAATACTTGTTTTGAGTATCTTTAAGGTGTTTGTGATTATGTGTGTTATGTATTCATACCATGACTATGGATTAATACAGTTTCTCCATATTAATAGGGACTTACAGCATAAAGAACATTAGTAATTAGTAGTAATCAGATCAAACATTTTGTAATAGTATTGAAGAAGAATGTAAATCAGACTTGTTGTTTCAGAACTACTTTTCAGTGTATACTGAAGTTTTGTATAAAGGCTATATCTCAGTTAATCAAATTTTCAATATCCTAAAATCTTCAATAGGATCTCTTAAGATTAAGAACTGTTAAGGACTCAGCAATTTCTAGGAGTATTTTGCCTAGCCAATTTCTGTGGTTATTTTAAATGTAAGAACAAGGAAAACTTATATTTACTTTTTAATTTTTTTTTTCTTTTTTCTCCTTAGGGTTGAACTGTTGGATTATCTTGACAGTATTGATTGCAGTTTAGAGGACTTCCAAGCTATGCTGTCAGGAAGACAGTTTAGCATAGACCCAGATCTCCTGGTTGATGTAGGTACTTTGGATAATATTTGCTATGCTCTACTAATTTGTGTATTGGGGGTATATTATTTAAAAAATCAATGTGTATTGTTTGTATCTGCTCTGTTTGTGCTTTTTCTTTTTTAAAATGAATGGTTTTATGAGACAGGATGAACAAATGGGTTTGGGACATTGAAAGAGAATGATCACTACTTGCCTGAGTAGCAGTTCAGTTAATTCTCTGTAATAATATATCAGTTCTATTCAACAGACCTAAATCCATGTCTTGTCTGGACTTGTTGTTCTGTTTAACTATGGAATAAATTGTCACTGAATAYAGATCTATGGAAATTGGTAATAGTATCTAGTCAAGAGACAGCTTGGAAATATTTCTTAATACTTTGGGAATTAACATTTTTCACTCAAATTTATTTTGTTTGCTGTATTTTTATGTCTTGAGTCTCCAGGTTTCCCTGCTATAATTCTTATCACCATCTCTCTGAACTTGACTTCAGTGTTGTCTGGATTATGAATTCTACCTACCATTTCTGGCACTAACCATGTTTCTCATTCCCTTCTCTTTTTGTTTCATGATGCTACTCCCTCCATTATCCAAAGCTTTGTTTATGCTCTGGCCTGGTCCTGTTCAAATGAATCTTGTTTTCTATTTCCATTTTTCTTTTGTGAATTATTTTCTCTTCTGAAAAGAGGTTTTTACTTTTTTTTGGTGTGTATGTTTCCTGCCAAAAGTACAGCTTTCTTTCAATATCAAAAGATTCTACAGTCTTACCCTTGTAGGAGCCTCTTATTAAGGCTAAAAAGAATGATTTCTTACTTACTCTGCAGTCTTATTTCCAGTTTATTGATTTACCACCTTACATCTCTACTTGTCATTGGATTTTGTCACTGTTAAAAGGCTTTAGCACCCTTTCCAAACTGTCATCACTAAACAAGATATATTTCACTTTCTTTGAATATTTCCTTCCCATGCTGCTATTTCCCATTTAAGTGAATTAAGCTTCTCCATTGATGACCTACTTCGTGTTATCCTGTTAACAGTAAACTGAGCCCTTTTTAATTTTTTTAGCTACGGTTACCACTTTGAATCCAGGGACTTTTCAGAATGTTTGTCCATTTGGTCACTAAGAATGAAATAAAAATCCCATCATTCTGGCCACCGATAAATCCTTGCATACTTCATTAAGTCATTTTAATTCTACTTTGAACATTAATCTTATTGTTGTCAACTCCCCCTAAACAGAGAACAATCCATCTGTCCTGGTTCCCTGATATCTGAGGCCCAGTATCCTACGCTATCTTTCTTAGACTAGGTCTTTTTTTCTTAAGGCCAATTTTATTCCTCTCCTCTGTCTGTCTGTCTCTGTCTGTGTCTCTCTCTCTCTCTCTCTCTCTCTCTCTTTTTTCCCCTCAATCTCTATTCTTGATCTTTCCTATTTGTCTTAAATAGGCATAGATCTTTCCCATCTTAAAAAAAAAGCATGTTGACATTTTGCTCTGCTCATTTACTTTTCCGTCTGCTTTTGTTACTTCTTCACTATAATGGTGTAGAAATGAGCAGCTACATTTTTTTTTCTTCTTTGCTTTTTTAATCAGTTCACCAGGCTACTGGAAGATCCTGTTATCTTCTAYTTATGAACATTCTCTCAAGACTTACAATTTTTGTCCTCTTATTTTTTATATCTCCCTTCTTTTTGTACATGGAGAGGTTTTAGTTTGTAAGATTGCTCTGAAGTATGTATATCCAGTGCTTAACATTTTTGAAAGTAAACTTGTCTTAAATTCTATTTTCATGCCTTTGAAGTCATCAGATCTTGCCTCAGATGATTTGTGTTTATGTCAGACTTTTCTTTCTTCCCTAAACTAGCGACCTTTTACAGCTTTCTTGTATTCTGTAGTAATATCTGACTTTTATTTAGTCCGCCAAGAAAGTTGTCACAGAATTACCTTGATTTCTTTTTCTTTCTCTTTTTTTGATACCAGGGATTGAACCCAGGGGTGCTTAACTACTGAGCTACATTCCCAGCCCTTTTTTACTTTTTATTTTGAGACAGAGTCTTGATGAGTTGTTGAGGCTGGCTTTGAACTTGTGATCCTTGTGCCTCCTGAGCCGCTGGATTGCAGGYGTGTGCCACCATGCCTGGCTTTGATTTTCTTTTCTTAATCACATCATTCACTAAGTCCTGTTTTCCAAAGTAACATTCACAAGCCATTCCAGCTTTATATTTCAATTGTTAACTTACCTCATCCAAAACCCTTATTATTTTATCCTTGAATAAGGCTATATTGTCATAAATAGAAAGTCCACTTATGATTGCCTTGTTTTCTGAAATGGCAAAGATAGTCAAGATACGAATATACAGTTCTTGGCTTCTCTCCTATGTTTAGTATTGGGTGATCCAGAGTAGAGTCAGCAGGAGAGTAGCCTTCGAATTCAACTAGCTGTGTCAGTTTTTCATGTAATCATACTAGTGGTGGTGGTGGGGKTTTTTTTTGTTGTTGTTTGTTTGTTTGTTTTAATGCTTTATCACATATATCTGCTGGGAATATATATAAGAGATCCCTGAGTGAGTAGGGAGCATGGGGCAAAGAAGGGAAGAGACGAGCTTATATTGCTGGCACTTTCAGATGCCACCCCTCAGCAGAAGCAAAATGTAATTGGGCTTCTGTGGTACTGACAGGTTGAACTGGAATAAATAAGTAGTCATGTGTTACTATCTACTCTCAAGGATCTGAGCTCTTTTTCTCTTCAGAACTCGATAGGTGATATGGAAACAGAAGAAAGAAGTAAGAAAGAGCCAGAGATATTTTTAGGGCTACCATGAACTGTATGGAACCTTAAGGAGAGAAAGCAAGTCTAGAGAAAATGGAGAAAGGGTATTCCTATGGCTTCTCTGCTTTCATTTTATCCTGTGAACCATTTGCTGTGCTCATTCTTATAAATGGCTAACTTAATATCTGCAATTTCACCACATGCAACTCCCAAAGTTCTGTTGCTGATAAGATGCAGCCTCATCAATTGAATGGGTTTATTTTTTGAACCTATGTACATAAATACTGTTCAGGTCAAAACTTAAGCATTATTTGTGCTTTCCTTATCCGTTTCTGGAACATACTCTGTCTTCGTTGTGGTTGTTAATGCTATTCCTATGTACTCATCCCTTCATTCTCTTTTTCAAGTCCTAGCTGTTCTCCAGGGACTGACACATATCACAAAGCTTTATCAAGGTCTTTTTTTGTTTCATCCTACGTGTTTCTCTGTGTGTGTTCTCTTCCCTTCTCATTTCTCCTTAGTACTTTTGAGCCTCAACATCCTTTGTTATAATACTGAATTGTATTTAAACATATGTTTGGCTATTCAGTGTTGGTCTTATCTTTTAGATTGTAAGCTCTTAGGAGCAGGAGTGATGTCTTTATCTCGTGTTCTTCGTGATTTCAATCATTTCTTAGATGTTTAGTAAATCTCTGGCATAATTGACTTTGAGGCTGATGGCTTAAAACAAAAATTATGTACATACTGGCTAGACTAAGGAGTGCAGTAGATAGTGGTCTTAGTACTTAAGGACTTTGTTAGGCGAGGTGAAAAAAAAATCAAGAAGTAGGTGTGCCACATTGTTAGAGGGCTCCATTTTATGTGTGGTTTAGGTGCCACTGTCATACAGCAGATTCTATAAATTTCTTACCTAATACCTAGCAGGTTATTCAGTGAAGTCTTATTGTCAGGGCACAAGTCCCAGCCCTGGGGACCACATAAGGCCAAAGGCATTTAGGAAGAAAAAAATGAATGTGAATGGAGAATAGTAAAGGAAAGGGGAGTTAGGGAAAAACACCATTTGTCTTAAGTGATTTACCCGACTGTGTTAATAAATTTTACAATATCAGATTCCATTTAATGCATTGGCTACCTTGCTCTGCTTTGTTTCTTTGTGGGTTTTTTTTTTTTCCCCCTGCTTTCTTGCTTTTCTCTTCCAAACTTAAGTTTACTGTATAGAAACTTCCTAGTGCAGGTATTACATCTCTTCACTCTACATGGTTATATAAAAATTTTGAACACACAATTCTTTTTAAATATTTTTTAAACTTATCATCTTTCTTGTTTGGTCTTTCAGCTTTTCACTAGTTCTGTGCAGATGAATCCCACAGATTACATCAATAATACAAAAGTAAGTTTTAATTCATGTTGCTCAGGACCCATAGCTATAAAAATCTGAAAAAAAAAAAAGTCCTACTAAGTAGAGAGCAATATCATTTCCAGTTACCAAAAAAGAAAGAGAAAATGAAAACACAACCACTTTATATTCTGACCAAATATGTGTAATGAAAATAGTAAAATTCTAGATGAAAAATGAGCTTTTGATTGTGGGGTGGATCATTGCTTAATTCTACTGACACATATGAGATTAATTTTCATTATGAAATCAGCCTCTTTTGATACTGAGAAATCCTTTGACCTTGGCTTGTTCAGGTGTATCATTGATAGAAGTGAATAATAGATGATTTCTCTGTGTTTTATGTGCTTCATTCCGTATCCTTATTCCTTCTATAAACAACATGAGATTTCTTTTGAAAATTTATTGGTACCTGTATTATTCCATAAATGCTTCCTTCATTTTATTAGTATACATTAAAAACTCAGGGATTTGTACTAATAAGTTTGTACTATTTGGAGGAAAGGCAAATTGAAACAGTGAACTATGGATTCTGGACTTCTCCCTTTTTTTGGGTACCAGGGAATGAACTCAGGCACTCTGCCACTGAGCCACATCCCCAGCCCTATTTTTATTTTATTTAGACAGGGTCTCACTGAGTTGCTTAGTGCCTCTCTTTTGCTGAGGCTGGCTTTGAACTCACCATACTTCTACCTTGGCCTCCTCAAATGCTGGGATTGCAGGCATGTAATCCTGGCTGACTTCTTTTTTCTTCTTTTAACTTATAAGAATTTTTTTATATATATACAGTTTTTTTCTTCTGCTACTATGCTACATCCGCAGCCTCTTTTTTCTTTTTTTTTTTTTTTTTGGAGATAGGGTCTTGTGAAATTGCTGAAGCTGACTTTAATTTGGGGGTGATCCTGCCTCGGTCTTCTGATGCAGCTGGGATTATAGGTCTGTGGCACCTTGGCTGGCAGGTTTTCATCTTTTTAAAAAAAACATAGGAATTTTAGTTGGGCTTAGCAATTATTGAAGAGATCTTTAGAACTGATTTTTGATGAATAGAAAGTATAATTTGAAGTTGTTAGAGAAGATGTTCACAAATTCTGTTACTTTGTACAGTTTATTGTTTTGACTAGGAATGTACTTCCTTTATCTTGCATTTATACCAAATTGTTTTTTAACCTTTGCTTTTGGTTGAATACATAGGTAAATCAAGTTCAAATTTTAAATTGGGTAAGGCAGAATTCCATTTTGATTCTTGTAGTTTAAAGATTTATAGCACATCTTGAATATGAGTGGTTAGGCTGATGGGGTTGAATTTTTCTATTACCATGTGTGATGAGAATGTAGCCTGACTGGGTTTTTAATATTTTCAGAGTTATGGCCTACCTGATTTAAAGCCTGAAGAATTATGAGTTTGTGAACTAGGAAATTGAGTATACATTTCAGGGTTCGGATGATTTGTATCAGGGATTGGCATACTTCTTCTTAAAGACCACCTAGTAAATTTTTTCACTCTGCAAGCTATATGTTCTTTGTCACAACTACACTATATTGCAGTTGTAGTGCAAAAGCAGATTAAAAACAGTATTTAAAAGAATGTAAGATTATGTTTCAGGAAAACTTTATTAAATAGGCAGTGTGCTGAATTTGACATTTGGCCAAATTCATTTGCCTGGGCTTATGAGTAAAATATTCTGTTGACCAGCTCAGCTGTTTGAGTAAATATSATCATATTATTGAATGTGACTGAGTTATAGACCTTAAGTTGAATGTATCCATATTATATATTAAGTTTGTCAGTGTGTTTTACTGTTTATTTCTGGACATTTGAGTTATTCTTGGATCATCCTATCCTCTTTATTCTAAAAGCCAATAACTTGAATGCAGTTTTCAGAAATAGCATTAAACAGCAAATTGCCTTTTGTTTAATAGTATGAAAGAATTAAATTTGAGAGTAACTGTTCATTATGTTTCTGAATTCAGATTGTTTTCAAATAATAAGCATATCAGCTATCATTGCCCTGGTCACGACAAGGGTTATATGACACAGATTATAACATTTTATTAATCAGAAAAGCCTCTACTTTTCACTATGGCAATCTAAGTAGTACACACTAATGAGTAAGAATTTACATGGTACATGAAACCCATTTATCATCCTGGTTCTGATGTTTTAGAATAACAACAGTGGCATCCTTGGAAAATACCTATTTTAGAAGGCATAAAATGTAATATTGTATTAATGTTTATGTAAAATCTTGGAAAGGCTTAGTAGTTTTTATCTTGGAACCATTATCTTTTCTGAATCCTGAAAACTTGTACTGCTTTATTTTATGATGAATATAAGGGAGAATATAGGAATTATTATATAGATGTTTGTTACGCTATCTATAATTAACCAGCATGTAAAAATATGGGACTTGTGGATACCTGAGACTTGCAGCTATTCAAAAAAAAGTTTATGAACTTCTGCATCTGAGTTTGAACATCATTGAAAAGATCCCTGAAGAACTTCGACAACATTAAAGATTTGTTTCTCTATTATAATTATATATAAGAAGAGAGGACAGTGTAGTTGAAAAAAGTGATTGAAATGACAGAAAAGAACTCAAGACACAAAAAGGACAAGAAGAAACATCTCAACTTTGAGGCTTCCAAGTTTAGGGATATTTATAAGGATGTGACCATGTCATCATGAACTGTTCCAAATATGTTTAATTTGTACTTAAAATTGTTTATAAGAGAAATGTGATATAGTTTAGTCAAAGTCATTTAAAATGAATTTAATTGCTTAAATGTTCTTTCAACTAGCATTTGAAACCACTTCTYTTTAATTCATTCCTATTTTTGTATCCTTGAGAGCATCTGTCTGTTCTACTATTGAAATGTCCTCCCCTTTTTAYACTTATCATCATAGTTCAGGTTTTTTTTTTTTCCTCATTGTCTTGATGACAAGTTTTCTTGCTACATCTATTCCCAATCTTTCCTCTCTTCCCCTCTGTTTTTCTTTATATTCTCCTTTTCCACTTATTTCAGATAGTATGTCAGTATTTACATATTGTATCAATTTTTAATTTTTTGATTTTTTCAGGAATATGTAAAATATGAAATAAGTGTTCTTACCTTTTTTTCCCCCCTTTCAGTCTGAGAATAAAGGATTAGAAGCTACCAAGAACAATGTAGTTCAACCAGTTTCAGAAGAAGGAAGAAAATCTAAGTCTAAACCAGGTGGGTATAGAGATATTTATAGTTTGTATAGTTTAGTAGAAACTAATGCAAGCCTTGAAAAGTCTTGTTGTAATAACACACTGGAAGATTCTAGCATATAGAAAAAATTGAATTGGTGAGGTAATAGTTCTTAAGGTCTTCTCTTTTTTTTTTTTTCCTATTTAACTTTAGGAGACCTGAAATAACTTTGTTTCTTAATTGTTGAATAAGACTAACTTTTATGACTTGCATATTTAAAATTTTACACAAAGTATCATGTCATTTGTTTGGCTATAATTTTTTTTTTTTTTAATCTTTATAGATAAGCAGCTTATCCAGTACACTGCCTTTCCACTTCTTGCATTCCTCGATGGGAATCCTGCTTCTGCTGTTGAACAGGGGAGTACAACAGCATCATCAGAAGTTATGTCCTCTGTAGATAAACCCATAGAAGTTGATGAGCTTTTGGATAGCAGCCTGGACCCAGAACCAACCCAAAGTAAGCTTGTTCGCCTGGAGCCATTGACTGAAGCTGAAGCTAGTGAAGCTACACTGTTTTATTTATGTGAACTTGCTCCTGCACCTCTAGATAGTGACATGCCACTTTTAGATAGCTAAATCCCTAAGAAGTGGACTCAACATGTATATATTCATCAAAATGATGAACTATTTATTTTAAAGTATCATTTGGTACTTTTCTTTTGTAAATTGCTTTGTTTTGTTTAATCAGATACTGTGGAATAAAAGCACCTTTTGCTTTTCTCACTAACCATACACTCTTGCAAAGCTTTGAAATGTTACTCAGCTGCCTAGATATACACAAAATTCAGTGCACATTATTGGCATATCTTTAAATTGGATTCAGATGGCCATTTTTCTCCAGTTGTAATTTGGATTTCATTTTACAGGATATAACCATTAGCAACAGTTATTTTTGTTTTGCTTGTTTGATGGTGTCTGTTTGAGTGTAAGTCACTAGAACTAATGATAGAACTTCTAAAGCTTTCTCTGTTCCAATTATTTTTATTAAGTATTTTTCACTTGGCTTATTTTTAAAACTGGGAACATAAAGTGCCTGTATCTTGTAAAACTTCATTTGTCTCTCTTGGTTCGAAGAAGTACATTTATGTTTGGAGTTCATTCATGTTCAACAGGAAGTGCAAAGTGTACACAAATACTCATTTTTATGGCTCCAGCTCCATATACATAGAAAGAATGTGGGGATGAGTTGGGAGTCTCATCCACTTAGTTGGACTAGTTTTAAGTAAAAGTTTTCTGGTTTTGTGTTTTTTTGAATCATACTATTTAGTAAAATAAATAATAATGAATGTTGAGTACTGGTATTTGTTATGTGTTTTTTTTGGAGGTAATACCCACATGAAAGGAAGAAGGTGACTTTAAACTATGTATTGTCCATTATTATCTAATGTAACACCAAGATCTTTGCCTTGTCTGATGAAGTAGATAGTATATTGCAGTAACAATAGAATATAGTGTTTCTAAATTTAATGTTTTAAAAGTTTTACTTTGTTTAAAAGATAACACCAACTTGCTTTCCGTGTTTCTAATAAAGAACCGAGAGATCTTATATGCCTCTCCTCCTTGTAGCTAAAGAAAGAAAATTATCAGGGGCTAACACTAGAGCCTTGTAATTTTTGCTCTTAAAGAAGACAGGAGAAATAATTAAATGACTTCCTCTGTTCCAAACAGGTGCTTACAAGAATTTGAGATATCTAAGACTAGGGTACTTTATCACTTGAAGAACTCTACCTTTAAGGCAGAGTGCTGGAAGCACTACAGTTAATATCTGTATATAGGGCTATTTAATGAGAAATTCTAAGGAAGACCTTTTTTCCATTGACCATATTGTATCTTTCAAATTTTTCTTTTCTATCAAGATTCAAAGTGAGGCTTACTCTAGTGGGCAAAAGGCCCCGAGTTTCATTCCCAATATCATAAAGCAAAACAAAGGCCTAGCWCAGAGGGATAGGAAAACGCTTCCCTATTTAGATCCTGAAATACTTGGCTGACAGTGGGATCTTGATGATTCAGCTCAAGACCCTGGAACAGTTTTCAGCATGAACCAAAGAGGTCACTTTTCCAAAGCTTGTTAAAATAAAGATTTTATGAACAGGAGAGAAACATTCTCATTGCTTTTCTCATTGTGGGATATGATCAAGTTCCTTGTTGTTGGGGGCATTTTGGAGCTTCCCAATTGAATCACTCTAAAAAAACTGAAAAATGTTATTACATTGGTCCTTTTTAAGGTTTTTCTAAGTTTAAATATTGAAGGAATTTAAGATTTTTGTTTTAAAATAACAGCAGTTACATGCTTCTTTTAAATGTAATCAGAATACTAGGGRAAAAAAAAAAAAGAATACTAGAGGGATTTGACCTCTCATATTTGCCTGGCTTCCCCAAAGAATTTTATACCCATTTTTACTGTGTGAAAAGTTATACATGGATGTTCCTGTTAACACTTATCTGCAGCTAAGAAGTTGTTTCTTTTAGCTAATATTTCTAGACATTTTTAAAAAGTCCATTTTCAGTTATACCGATTATCAGAACAGTATATTTTCATCTTTGCAATGAAATAACCATACAATTAAGTTCTAATAAATATCAAGAAATGATGTATAGTACTATCCTAAGTCTGTTTTGATAATCTTCCCCATGCATTCCTCCTTATCCCTTATTTCGCCCTGGCTATCAGGACTTCCAAATATATATTCAAAAGGAAACTTGGGGCTGGGGTTTTGGCTCAGAGGTTATAGAGTGCTTGCCTAGCACTTGTGTGGCACTGGGTTCGATTCTCGGCACCACATTAAAAAATAAAAGCATTGTGTTCACCTATAACTAAAATATATATATATATATATATATGTATGTATGTTTTCTTGGCTTCCTTAATCATTGTTTTTAGAGCCACCCATTAGTCCTTGAAACTAATTTTAGACTTCAGATGAGAAAGAGACAAACCTTTCAATCCTTTGGACTCCATTAGAATTCACCATTAATTTTTTTTTTTTAAATGCTACATCACTTAAAGACTCAATTTTGTTGAATAAATAAATAAGTAAATTTTTATCCCAGTTTGGGACATTAAAACAATCTATAGATTTTCCCCAAGTGCTTTGGTAAAATTTATAATGAAGATGATGTGTATCTTTCTTTTAAGTATGGAAAGAATAATTGTTAAAAGGGATAGTACCTTGTTTTGATGCATTTTTT